TCTCTCTCTCTCCACCTCATTCTGGAATACATTTTCCCAGATGCAGCAAATTTGCCCACGTCTTCCGTCTTTTATTCATTAACCTCACAGTGAACTGAAACAGCACCTTGTTATGAGCGTTTGAAAGGGACACTGGAGGAGCCACTAATCAGATCAGACAGCCAGCGAATACCAGGACATGCACACATACCGGGGGATATTCAACACAACCACACACTCACACTGACACACAAATGTGCAGCACTTTTCAAGAGTTTCTGCTGGATTTTGATGACTGTAATGAAATTGTGGTAAATAATGAAATAAATGCTTAAGTGGCCATTTAAGGGGATTAGATGTGCAAAGTGAGACGGGAGCCTTGATGAAGGAAAAAGCTCGAGCTGATTCATTTTGTGTGTGTGTGTGTGTGCATGTGTGTGTGAGAGAGGATGGAATAAAAAAAAAAATAAGAGAGGAGACAAAGTGAGAAACATCCACACAGCAGAGGAAGGATGAGAGATGGAGGCTGGTGTGGGGGTCTCAGGCCTTGTGGCAATTAAAGTGATTAATACCCCCCCTCCCCTCCCCCCCATGGAGGTGGTTGGAGTGGGGGCGGCTCGGTTAATGGAGCCAGATTAAGAATAATTGCCGCTCAGACGGTCTGTCTGTCAAGGACTCAAAGAGGCTGAGAACCACAGCAAGAGCGACGGCGAAGTTGGATGCAGAGGCTGTTCACGTGATGGCTGTCAGAGAGGCTCTGAGGGGAGGGGAAGAGGAGCAAAATGGAAAAACAATGTCGATTGACGGGGCATTTTTAAGTATAGTGAGTAAACAAAATCTTCTGTGAAAGCTTTTAAATCCCACTAAATCCACTCTGGCATTTGTTGCTGACGGTCTTTTTAATAATCCACTATACAGCAGCTTCTTGTCATTGGATCAGGCCAACATTTTGGGAAATACGCCTTAATGCCATCTAAGTTGGAGGATGAGATTGATCAGTTTCACCTCTGTTGGCTTAGCAGGAGCAGGAGAGGGAAAAGACATTTTGTCAATTTGTTAATGCACTGAAGCAGTTGCTTGACAGCACACGGTATGACAGAAGTCCTGTCCTCTGCACGGTATCATAACTGAACAAATCCCAGCGGAGTCCTGCACGTTCTGGTGCCTGTGGTCCCTCACTGGTCGGTTGGTGTCATCCTGACTGGAAAACATTACGTTTACTGAATTTATGATCTTTGTTCTGGTTCCACCGGCAAATAGCCTCAACAGACCAGAATCCCATTCGGCTGTGAACGTGCTGGAATATTACATTTAGCATCTCTACACTGTTAAAAACTAAATAAACAACCAAAAGAACTGTGATATTCAAGCAGCTGAAGTGCCAAAAAAAAACAGAAAAAATGCTATAAAATAACAAGAAATATGATCAGCTCATCATCAAGCTCTGCAGAAGCCTGATAACGACCCTGATCATTTGAATCAGGTGTGTTGGAAGAAGGGAGACATCTAAAACATGCAGGATTGTGGCCCTCGAGGACCAGGATTGGACACCCCTGTTACAGTGTATGCTATTGATTTGCCCTTTTTTTTTAATCTACGTGTAACATGCAGCTCATAAAACTAAATGCAACAGAGACGCTGTCGGCTGAGGCAGACTGTGTGAAACGGAGGTTGAACCATCTACTGTGAACATATAGAAAAGGACAAACAAATGCTTTAATGCTAAACATCCTCCAGGCTTTCCTGGATTTTACTGATGGAGGTCACACAGCAGTTCGAGGGAATTTTCTTGCATTGATTTTCTCAAAAGCACCTTGAGAATTCTGATGCGAGCGACAGCACAGCATTTACATGCTTTTCCAAACAACAGAGTCAAACCTGAGACCTCCTGAATCCATTTGTCTGCTCCCTAAAAGTTGCTGAGAATTAAGCAACAACAACAACAACCAGTGAAAGCGAAATGGTTCAATAACCGTAGTTATGACTAAGTGTAAAAATTGCAGGGAAATCGCTCTCTCACTCCCTCACTCTGCACATCCTGCAATTTTTTTTTATCCGTCTCTTTTATGACCCTCTGTGCTGCAGCATTCATCGGGGACATATTCATGTGATGTCATTCGAGATAGGAGTTTCTGCTCAGGCAGAGAGAAAGAGGGAGAGAGAGGGAGAGAGGAGGCGTAAAGGAGAAGGAGGAAACAGATGAGGAATGAGAACATTATGCATTTGGTGGAATGCTGGCAGAGTGAGATCCTGAGTGAAATGGGAGAGAGACGGAGAGGCAGAGGGGAGGAAAGAGATGGAGTGGGACTCTTTGCCAGCGTGATTTGTCTTGTAAAGTGAAAAAAACGCAGACAGATGGATATAAAAGATGGTGGCGAGTGAAAAAAAATGAAGGACACGCAGAGGAAAGAGAGATGATAGCGAGAGCGGGTTGTCGCTGGTTTAGCAGCAGAGGAGGTGGAAGTTGTTGTGGGCGAAGATGGCAGGGTTTTTTACCAGCGTGGCCCTTGCTTAGCCTGCGCTGACGGACTTGTCGTCCTGAAGGCCTGAATGATTTATTAAAGTGAGGAGTGGCAGAGAAGAGGGCAGCCAGGCGAGCTCTGATTAACTAGGGGAGCGAGGGAGGACAAGCACTCCTCTATTATTCATTACTCCACAGGAGCACAGAGTGGGAGCATGGCAAGAATGGATGTGTTAGGGAAAGAACGAAAGAAACACAAGCGGAGTGGGCATTTTATTTTATTAATTTTTTTAGTTGTTGCAGGTTTGAGTTTGTTCCCCAGTTCTCAGGGTGTGTCCTTGATGCGGAGCCGCCCGGGTTGGCTTGTGTTTCTGCAGGGCCGTGGATCTGTCTGCTCACCTCAGCGTCCGCATGCAGAAATGCAGCCACACATGCAAAACAAAACACGGCGTTTCCCCTGCGAGGCTGGCTGTCACATGAAATCCCCACCAAAGAGAGAGAGCCGTCCAGTTCTGGATCTGGACTGCTGGAAAGCGAGACGTCCGACTCTTTGTTGCCGCCACGTAGAGTCGCTAAAACACCGCGTGCGCATTTGTTTTGTTGTCTCTAAATAATGAAGAAGCGCTTCTGCCGAGATCACGTCGCGAGATGCTTCCCCGCCGCCAGCGTGGCAGAACCGATCTCCTCAGAAGTCGAACCGAGAGGGCGTCTGCTCAATACTTAAAAGGCAAAAAAAAACCATGCAACATTGATGACCTGTGGGGTCAAACAGCTGCCATCTTGAACCAGAGGCAAACTCCAGTAATGTCTGCAACAATGGCTCTGTTTCTGCATACAAATAATTCATCTTAACTCACGCAGAAGTCTGAAGCTGTTATACTTATCATCTCTCTGAACAGATTTAGCCTCATAATGGTTGATTCTACTTGGTGTCAGTCAGCTCAGGTCCGTCGTTGACACGGTCGGGTGCTTTATAGATCCTCCTCCCATCAAACAGAAAATTGCCCGGCGAGCTCAGAAAGATATTTAATTCCTTCTATCACTCTCTTTATCTGGTCCCGGCCTTCCTGTTTTTCCGTCCTCGGCTCTGTTCATTACTTCATGAAGCCCATCTGCTCTTTGTGTGCTCATTTGACCGCGGCAGCAGCTGAGGGTTCGCCTGTTGTGTCAAGTGGACTTGTCAGACGCTGATGGACCAGAGAGGCTGTCTCTGATAATGGCCAGCATGTCTGAAATCACTGTATGTCAGCGGGGGTGGTTGACGGAGGCGGCGAGGTGAACGCGGCGTGAGGAATGAGGTATAAATAAAAAGGTTGCTCCGGCCCGAACCAGCTGGCTGCAGGCCGCGTCACTATCGCTTCATTTTGCTCCGTCGTGGTCATAATGGGGGTTTCAATGAGGCATCAAATGAGTTCTGCTTCAACAGAATCACTGTTCACTGCCGCAAATGCGATTCTTTCACCAGAAACAGGGACAAAGAAGGGCCTCGGGTTTGGCTGAACGCTTGTGGCCACACGAGGCCAAGACAAACCCGTGGTTGCGTGCAGAGGAACAGAAACCGCTGCACTCGCTGGGATGCAGTCAGCGACAGATATATCTGAGAGAAGAGGCAACGATTCACTGTGAATTTCTTTGAGAAGTCATTACTGCATCGTGCTGGATTTATCTTAAGCCCAGTGATGGGAATCACTGATTAAAATGACTACACCTAATCATTTTTATGACCAATACCAAAGAGCTACTTCACTGACAGCATGAAAAATGTAGAAGGAAAGTAATGAAGTGAGATTTCATTTCTTCCTCGAAACCTGCAGAATGAAACTACAGCACATTATCTCACCTCCTTGGTTGAGTTGTTGACTTGGATACAAAAAAAAAAAAGTACAAATTTCATGAATAAAGATGAGTTATTTCTTTGCAGTGTACAGGGTGTTCCTTCGCTAGACTGCGGCCTTCTAGTTGGGGCCCAGAGGAGATATATTTCAGCCAAACATTATGTATTCTGCCACAGGCCACTGGACAGTTCAGTCCACTTAAATCACCTGAATTATTCATCAGAAACTCAGCATTAGTTCGCCGCGGCTACACACCCGAGCGTGTGTGAGTAAACGGTCTCAGCGAATGTCATCATCACCATCATCATCATCATCATCATGTGTTTGTATAATCTACATAAAATAAAATTTTTAAAAAACATTAACAGCAGCAGCAGCTTCAAACGCTGTTGACACTAATCGTCCTCGGGGATTCTGACGAAGCACACGAGCGTTGGTGTTTTTCTTAATACCAGCAGGGTGCAGATAGTCTGCAGATCAAAAGGCTTCCAGTCAGACTTAATTAAAAATATATTCATCATGCGTGTAGCTTTTTTAGTAATTACACTTATGCATAATAGTGCGGCTAATTGATTCATTAAGTAACGCAGCAGTCGCTCGGGCGCTCCATGGCGGGAAAGAAACGGAGAAGGAGAAAGAAACTGTAACTTCAAAGAAAAAGGAGCAAGAGAAGTTAGAGGACAATGGAGAGGAGTGATACTGCACAAAACAGCCTGGATGAAGGGTTGGTTTATCAGAGGTTAGTTTATATTTTGAAGGTAATACAAATGCTATGCTGATGAGTTGATACTTGATAATACAGAGCCATCTGCTGGTCAGTAACGGAAGTTTCACAGTTGTACTTTTAAGCCACAAACCATGACCATAAAAACAAACAACAACAAAAAAAAAAAAACACACAGCTCATGTATTTATTGAATATTTAAACATCTGGTCACTGTGAGGCCCTCAGGCGCACAGCAGTCCCTCGCAACAGAAGTGAAAACTGTGTGGAAACACTCAAAACTTTTGACATCTAAAGGGGAAAAACAAAAGGCATCGCGCTCATTCTACCGCACACACACCCACAAAAACACCAGTTTCCTTGTCAACGCACTTATACTCATTTATATAGACAACATAGAAATATAACAGGAAGGGCAAAAGCCGAGCAGAAACCAGCTCACTGTGGCTGATTGTAAATACTATGAAAAATCCTAATAATTCAAAACTCATATTCGTCTACTGAAGTCATGGATGTTTTTAACCATCCATCGGTCACTGTAGTTGCTTCACAAAATAGTTCCAGTTGGATATTAGCACTAAAATCGGGGAAACTACTTGCAAAAAAACAGTGCATAGAATACATTTTTTAAACTATTACAAAGAATTAAAAGTCGCATTTTAACTCCTAACTGCTCCCTTTTGCTTCGATGTAGCAGCAAAACAAACAAACTCCTCCTCCGCTGTTGAGAAGGTTGAACTCACGCCGACCTAAACTGAGTCAATCGTGACAACACACACACACCTACATTGACCTTGTGAGTGGACTGTTTGCTTTCTGATTAGTAACCAGCCATCGAGTCAGAAACTCCTGACTGGAACACAGCCGAGCAGAACAGCAGGGGAAGTTGACCCTTTTGTAAATACTTCGGATAGAGATGCAAAGTTGTGGCTTTACGAGAGAGAAAAAGTCCAACAGCAGAGCCGGTGTGAATGAACATTTTTAAAAAAAACAAAAACAGATTCATCCCTGTCAGTGTGGCCAAAATGAATACTGAGACTTCTCCTTCAACTCTCCTTGACTGACAGATCAAGATTATTTCTCAGCTCTTTCACTCTCATACAGACACAGTCCTTTCAAATAACAGTGTGAACGAGTGAGACGGTCCTCTGCACCGGTTCGACCAGAGCGGATCATCACCGAGAGGCCGCCTAACAGAGAGACTTTGGTCGAACCTTCGGGAAAAGCTGGAAAAGAAAGAAAAGAAAACAATTCATACCATAAACAACACAAATCAGGAGGTGAGTGCTGAACTGGTATCTGAAATTGGCATCTTACCCCGAAGTAGTTGTTTGGAACGAAGCCCTCCCTGCCACAGAGCGAAGCCCACCACCAGTCAGAGCCGTCGGGTTTCTGCAGGATGGTAACCATGTCTCCCTCTTTGAAGCTCAGCTCGTCGGCTGCCTGAGCCGGGTAGCTCCACAGAGCGTACAGCACCCCGCTGTTCTCCACCCCCATGGCCTCCTCCACGCCTGGTGTTTAGAATAAACAGGACGCATGTTTAAGCCCAAGTTTCAGGGAGTTTTCTGCACCCGTCACAGTTTTTGCTTATTTTTGACTGCAGTGTAAAATGGGAACAGAACCACCATGACTAATAGAGGCTGTACTGGTGTCTTATGAGCAATACTGCAGACTTACAATACCATATATAATAAAAAAAGAAATAAAACACAGTGCCCACAGGTGTTACCAACACTGTAAAAAAAAAGGGAAACGCTGGCTGTACAGACTACAGATATTTTACGACTCAGATTTCTACCTCGTGTTTACATACTTGTCTCCTGTATGTTCTGAGCAAACACATCCTGCAGCTCATCCAAGGTCAGACAAACAATGTTTTTGGTGATGCAACTGTTGGTCACAGCTGAGTCACTCATGACTTCTCGGTTGCGTCAAGAAGCTCAGAATTTTTCTGTTTTTCACAGAAACTGATCAGTTTTTACGATTTGTTTTTGGCAAATTTTTAAAATAAAATATGGATGATTTTGATCAAATATCATGATCACAGATGTGCACTTTGAGGACTGTCCTAATCCAGAGATGCTTTATTATTTTCACAGCTTTGGGCTCTGATAAATGGTGTAACTTTGGCAATTTTAAAAAGACAACATGCATTACAAACCTGTGAGTTTTGGGGATAATAGGATTAAGACTCAGTGCACCAGAAAGAGGTAGTTTGGTCAGGTGAGTAAAAAAAACTATGAGTGTTTCTTGGCAAAAAAAAAGGTTCCAGTTTATAATATCTGCTTTTGATTAAACATCAAAATGTGGAAATTCATCATTTCCAGTTGCTTTATTTCAAAAACCTTTCCCCAAAGTGTTACTGCTTTGTTTTCTTACATTTGAAAGCCTACTTTTCCAAGATGTTTACTTGCAAAGAGTTAGTGTACTCTGTTCTAACATGTTCTAAAAAATGCAGATTTGGCAGGAAATGGTTTAAAATAAAGATAAAGATAAAGATAAAGAGACTTTATTGTCATTGTGCAGGAGTACAACGAAACTTGTGTGGAAGAACACGACAATAGCAGCAAGAAATAAAAATAATTTAAAAATAATTTAAATACTCGAATATTAAATATTCCCACACTCTTGAAGCATGACACAGCAATATGTCCTTGTGCAGTGTCATTTACTAAGACACCAGAAACCAGAAATCTGCTCCCTTTATGTCACTTTGGATGAGAATTTTCGTTTGGATCAAAAAACGTGAACATGTTTTATTTTCTATCTATAGCTCCGTCTTCTGCTTTATTATGTGCACGTGTATAAATGACATCTGAATGCATGACACTGAGGTTAAAAGTGGATGTATCAGTTCATGATTACTCTACTATGACTCACTTTTAGCGGTTATTACAGTTTGACTGGGTGTGTACTGGTGTGGCCGCCTCACCTCTCAGGAAACTCTCACACTCCTCAAACCCGACAGCGTATGGATCACACTTCTGGGAGGCGGTGGCACCGTCGCTCTCCGTCATGGCCATGACAGCAGCTCCGTTCCTCACCAAAAACTCACACAGAGGCCGATCGTTGCACGACGCCGCGCAGTGCAGAGGAGTCCTGTGGGCACAATACCCAGCAGGGATTACTAAAACAATTAGGTACGATGTCACGTCCTGAAAGCATCTGATGTGTGTGAGATTTATGACTGTCACAGGGCCACAAGCAAAATCCTCACCTTAAATGCCTTCTTACCCCAGTTACCTTGAGGAGCTCTCCAAAATTAATTTAGCTGTCAAAGCCCTGACATGGAAGGAATCTCAGCTAAACAAGAGGAAGCAATGCACAGAAGTTGGTGATAAGTGTTCCTCTTTTGCTAGTGGTACAATAGGAGTCCCTCAGGGGGCTGTTTTATGACTAATTCAAATTAGTACATACATTAATAATCCTCCTTAAGTGTGTCTGGTGCTACTGTTTAGACATACGCTGACGACACTGTGACTTTTACTCACGTGCAATCTAAAGATCAGACCAACCCAGGCGGTGACAGCGCAGTTAGGATTAGAGCGTCTACTAGACGTGACTGCAGTTCAGAAAGACTCAGTTTAGCTTGTTGTCTGGGTTAAAGCAGTGAAGAAATGGAATTTTATCCCTACAAACAATAGAGACTCAGGAAGCTTTGGAGTGTGTAAAACCAGGGGTCCCTTAAGAATCTATTTTGTGACTAATTTAAATGAGCATATACGTTAATAATCTTCTTCTTCATGTTAATGTTAAGATATATGCTGATGACACTGTGTTTTTTACTCATGCAAAATCTAGAGAATGTGTTGCAGCCAAACTAACAGCTGCAATAATCAAAGACTGGTTAACTAATTCTTGTTTGCATGTATTTCACAGTAATAATAACCCTGATGTTTCATTAAATGGTGAAGTTAACAAATCGTATTCGACATATTTTAAGAATGTAGGCATTATGACACAAACCAAACACCAAGTTAGTAAGGTCAGCAACACTGTTGAATTGAATCTGAATAATTTGAAATGTATCTGACACCAGTTGTCTTTGTCTGCTGCAAAGCTTAAAAAAGAAAATTTCTTTAGTTTAGATAATTTCCTCTTTTACTCGGATGCACAACTGATGTTTAAAACTATTCATAATCTTGCACCTCAAGGCAGGATTAGAGCGTCTACAAAAAAGCAGTAAAAAGTGGGTTTCCATTTATTCTATTTAGTGAGTTTATTTTTTATCTAATGCTGATGGACTTTTAGGTTTTGTATCGTGTGTTTTTTTTTTGGTTTTTTTTGCGCCTGTCCGGGTACAGCATGATCTGCTGGCTAACTCTGGCGTGATTACTTCTACTTGTGTGCAAAATAAACAAATCAACGAACACCTGACATGTCACCTTGTCCGAACCGGGTTACGTCAAGCCTTTCTTAGGAGGCCGATAGGTTTCAGGTGAAAAAGAAAAGGTAAATATTTACCATCCATGGCTGTCTGGCGCGCTGACGTTGGCTCCGATGCGAACCAGGAAGTCCACCACGTTGTAATGCCCCCCGCAGATGGCGTTGTGGAGACCAGTGATGCCTTCATCATTGGGCTGGCTGGGGTCATTCATCTGATGAAGGACACAGAGCAGATTTGGAATTAATTATGCACATTATGAACATTTAGACATTTCATTCTAAATAAAGCTTTTCTGTGTCTGGATTCTCCCTCCTACATGACTGTCAGCATCCTCTTGAGAAATTCTGTAACTCCCAAATTCTAAAAGTAGAAAAACAGAAGTAGAAGTTGTTGTTCTGACTTCCAGACAAAGAAAGCAGCAGAGAAGGAAACACAGACGCAGCACATCCTCCTGCAGACATTTAAGTTGAATATAACATATTTTTAAATTCTACTTAATGTCCAAATTGAGAAGCGGAGCAGCACATCTGGCAACAGACTTTACTGTCTCAGTCAGTTTGAGTTATTTTTCTTCCCCAATAAAACATATTTATGGAGGCGGCTGATGTCAGCGAAGAAGAATTTTAAGTGGTTCTGGGAGATAAAGAATTAGTGCAGATGGAAAATGCAACTAAAATGACAAATGCAAAGTGAATTATTGCCTTTTTTATAATGTGTGAACCAGCATCACTCTGTTTAGTTCATCTTAGATCTAAATAACCTGCATTCTACTGTATAATGGTTGTTTGCTTAATTTACAACAACAATACTTCTACAACTACTCATAATAATAATAATTATTCTTATTCTTATTATTATAACAATAATGATGCTACTTATAACAATGATAATAATGACACTAATAATAATAATAATAATAATAATAATAATAATGATGCTAATAATAATTATTACAACACTACTACTAATAATAACGCTAATATCAACAATATTAATAAAAACAACAATATTACTACTACTACTACTGATAACAATAAGCATTATTTATATAACCGTTCCTTAGAAATCTAACAAAGTGCTTCACAAAAGGATTAAAAACAACAAAAAGACAAGAAGAAAACAACAACAAATACAAAATAAAAAAATAAAGGGAATTAAAATTTGATATGAAAGCTTTCCCTAAAAAGGTAGAAAGGAAAAAAACAATATCAAATTCAGGAAATCTAATTTCAGGTAAATCACTCCAGAGTTTGGGGGCAGCGACTGCAAAAGCATGATAGTTCTTAGTCACTATAGGGAGATAAAATAGAAATAGAATAGACAGACCAGACAACCACTATATGCTGATTTAACATGATGTCCAGACTCATGCGGGGTTAAAGGATTACTATAGGTAGGGCCTTGGTTGTGTAAGGTCTTTAAAACCAACTAAAGGCGATGAAGAAATCCTGAGTAATACCTGTGTAGAGCGCATTAAAAAAAAAAAAAATCCAGACAGGAACAAACACAGGCGTGAACAGATAAAAGATAGAGGAGGATAAGAAGGATCCTATAAAGCAAAGCTTTATCTTAACACCATTTCACATATATGCACTTTATTATTAGTGTCTGGTTCCTGGTTTCGTGTTTCAGGCGCTGGTACTATCACTGGGAGTAGTAGTACTAGTAGTATTTCATACCTCCTGCACGGCTCTCTGCACCGTCTCCAGCTCTCCAACCAGAGCTCCATCCAGCAGCAGAACCAGCGGACTCAGCCGAGCTCGCCTTCCAGAACTTTTGCGCTCCCTGGACCGCCGCAGAATCGAATGGTAGCTCTGAAGGGACAAACAGGATGCACAACAGTTAAAACAAAAAGAAGACTGCAAATGCATGTAATGTATGGTCGTAACAATAACAATATATTCTGTAGCCGTCTGGTGATTTACTATGTATACATATATATTATTGCAATATTTATTTTTCTACACACACTAGAATATGTGCTGTATTGTTATTTTCCTACTTATGGACAAATCTGTGCAATATTAACACTTCTCTCAGTATTTTTGAAAGAATCTGTGTAATACCACTGATACGTAAAATACTGTTATTTCTAGAACTATTATATTCTGGTTTATTTTTTATTCTTGTACTGATGTTCCTTAAAAGTTTGCACTATGTCCTTTGCTGCTGTTTATCTTCTCTTGTATATTTTATAAGTGGCACAGCGCATTCATAATGTGATACAGAAATAGTTAAATCTTTCATGGCATTTGTTGTGCTGGCTTTGCTGTATTTTTAACCTGTTTACAATCTGACACAGTTCACTTTCTCCAAACCACTTCCTTACATGTGGAATCCCGGTGGACGACTGAGGTAGAGCAGCGGGAGGCATGGCAGCGTCCTCCCCATCTGAGGAGCTGCTGGTCTCGCTGCCCTGCTCCCCCCTCTGGCGGCGCTCCTTCCGGCGGAAGAGCTTGTCGATGAGGTTCTTGTACTGGTTGGGCTGGTAGTGCGAGGCCTTCTTCAGTGGCAGCGAATGGTCCACGGATCCACGCCTCTTCAGGGCTCGGGGGATCTCTGACCTGATGCGGAGCAGCTCCTCCAGGTCGGGGATCACGTCGCTCTGGGCCTCGGGGGCCACGACCGGCTGCAGCCTGGTGGGGCTCAGGGGCCGGGGAGCGATCGGCATGCCCTCCACGCTGCCCTCCGGCGTGGGGGGGTTCTCCAGAATCACGGGGATGTGACGAACGTAGTCCAGCCGCTCCAGCTCCGCGTCGACATCCCCTGGGTTCAGAGCTGCAAACATAAACAGAAACTTGTAGCACAAATATCTTGTGAGCACGAATCACAGAGCGCGTGAAGGTGTGAAACAAGTTTTACCATCGCTGTATATGGCCGGCTGTCTCAGCTCGGCCGGCTGTGGATGCAGCATGGGCTGGTGGAAGAACTCCCTCGGGATGGGTACAGCCGGCTGATAAGGTGCCATGTCTCCTTCTCCTCCCAGCACTCGGGGGTGGCGGGTCGTCATGGCTCCCCAGTGGGGGTTTTGGAGGCGCATGATGACAGAGAGAGGGATGGGTTTACGCTGGCGGGCCGGAGCGGCAACAGGAGGAATAGAAATGCGGGAGATGATGGGCTGAGAGTGGTAAGGGGAATGGGACGGGGATGAGACATCTGGAGGGACTGATATACGAGCGTTACGGGGGAGAGAGCTGTGAGAATACTGGACAGAATTAGACCGAGGATCCTGCAAAGAAAAAAGAAAAAAATAAGAGAGAAATTCTCACCACTTTAATCTAAAACTGAAAAAGTAGCTGTCAACCATCTGCTGCAAAAATGTATTGAGCATAACTCAACGAGAAGCATCCAGCTGTTTCTTGCTATAGTGGAAGAATATTAAAGTAAAATGACCGAATGCTGATATGACTGTCATACAATTACATCCTATATTATTAGAGTCTTATTATTTTGTGAACAGCATTTAACTGGGGGTTACACATATCGATTGTTGTCATTACAGAAATGTATTCTATATTAATTCTGTTATTAATATTCAAATTTGATTCATTAAAACTTACATTTTTATGAAAAAAAATGTAAAAATAAAACATAATATTTTGGAAGCTGAGGTACTTCATATAAATAAATAAATCACATTTCTCAATCCCATAAAAATGCAATAATTTTCCATAATTCATAAACATATTCTAGCCATAATTCGACATGGGATCATGTGTATTTTGGGGCTTTTTAATATTTATTAAAATATATTTACATGCGTGAAAACATTGAAATCACCTATAATATAGAATATTAAAAAAAAATATATATATATAAAAGCATACACAGATAGATAAAATGATAAATTATATTTCTAACAATAAAACTACATTTTGACAAATTGCCAAAGTTCAGATATTATATGCTGTTGAAAAAAATGATTAAATCTGCATTTTTGTTGTGAAAACTTCTGTAATTACACAAAATATCTCAGAAGCTGCATCAATAAACCTGAATGGAAAACTGTCCTATTTTGGCATCACATGTTTTGTATGTAAAAACCCTAATCTGCAGGGTAGCTACTACCTACAGGGGGCAAATCACTGCAGTGGACTAACAAGTTGAATAGAAACAAGTTGAGTATAAATTTGCATAACTAGAAAGTAGTATGAAAATAAAACACTCAAAAGAAGAAAATGCAAAACCTCAAACTTGTTCCTAAGTACACAAAGTGAGAACATGTGCTTCATTACATTCCGTCTCTGACTAACAAAACAAAACAACAAGCCGGTGAAGCCGTCGTGCACGTCGCTGCACAAAGCGAAGGAAAGGTGTGTCACGTATGAAAACACCGACTATCTCCAGGCACAGTCGGTTCACTGTGTTCTTATCTGAGAAAAACAATGCCAGGAGACTTGGAGTGACTCCAGTTAGACGGATAACCGAATATTTACAACAACTCAAGGGCATGTGAATGAAAGTTTGCGCCGTACGATCTCTTTTTAAACGTGTCTGCTGAAGCCGCCCACCTTTTTGGGGCCCGGGGCCGGAGGGGGACCGTCCAGGTTGGATTCTCTCCAGCTGCTGTTTGGCACAGACGGCCGCAGCCACTCCGTCTCTGTAACGGGAAGGCGTTGAGTTAAAAAAAAAAACAGGCAGAGACCGATTCCACGAATTCCAAATTAAAATCTGAGAGAGCAAATTAGAAAGATGTAAACGGACTGTCGTAGGTGTGGTGAGGCTTCCTCTCGTAGGACACGTCCAGATCAGTCTCGTTCCACTTGGAGGGACTCTTCTGCCGTTGCATGCTTTCATCTGACAGACGGATTGATAGAGATGGAGATAAAAGAAGAAAACGCAAGCAAAGGAAACGTAAAAATAGAGTGAGAGTGCTGGGAAAGAGGAGAAATTACAAGTGTTACCAGTATTTCTCTAGGACTTGTTTGTTTTTTTATATGTTTTATTATAGCTATTTGGAGAACTGTAGAGTTTCTGAAAGGAGATTTTTTCATTAAACATGAATCTATGCATCTATGAAACTATTGGTGATATTTTTGTTTGTGAAAAAGTTCTGTTGCATCTACTTCTGGTGAAAACAGAGCGGTTGTGGTTCACAACAGTCGGATCATTTATGGATGTCTACACTCCCAAATCTCAACACGATGACTTTTAGGGAGGTAAAAACTACTTATTCATTACTAAATTTAACTAAAGACCAACACAGATCAAGCAATAGTTGTCCATTTATAGACTTAAACTGAGAGACGGTTCAGAATGTCTGGTTAAAACGGTGCATCTTTATCATGTTGAGTGAGTAGTATTAGTTTAAACTGCAGTTTAATGACATCTACAACTGACAAATACATCCTGAATCTGACTGCTGCTTTTCTGTACATTAAATACTGACCATATATTAATTACTACATCTTAAATCCATTCATCATACGTTGCAGTCCTGTTTCTTTTCTGTTCTGTTTTCTTTTCTCATCTAGTTTCTCTGTAATAGTTCCTCAAAATGACAACAGAAAGGAATTAAGTTCATTGAACACCATTACAGTTTATCCATTTCATTGGGTTCAGTTGGTTCTGATAACTGCAGCTTCTCACCTGGTTGCCTTAAGCTGTTAAAGTTCCGGGGAAGTGTGCTGGACATGAACGACAGCGGAGACGGGGTTCTGTCTGGCCGAGGCGACCTGCGGCCCATCTGGCTGTTGTCGTAAGGACTCAGCAGCTTGAGGGAGCCTGAAGGAGAGCGACTTGGCTGGTCCAGAGGACTGCCTGTGGGGTTCGGAGAAGGGCTCCTCTCCATGTAACTAACTGAACCTCGGGGGCTCCTGTCGAACGGCGAGGGGGGATTGTGCCGCGGCGACGGTTTGGGGCTCAGCTGATTGTACGAGTAGCTGTCGGATCCGGCTCGGGGAAGGGGGGAATGGGTCTCCCTGTGAATCCTGGGAGACGAGAGCGGGCTGCTGGGGTAGACGGGGGACGTCGGGACATTTTTGTTGCTGGAGATGATGGAGTCGATGGGACGGAAGGATGCCGAGCTGGAAGAGGAGGAGGCTGAGGAGCTGGTGCTGCCGTTGGCGCTGCCAGTCGACTTCCGCGGAGACATGGAGGAGCTGGAAGACCCAGTAGACGGAGGCTTCTCTTTGGGGATACTGAAGCTGCTCTGTGGCATCTGTTATAAAGAAATGCTGCAATTACGAGCAAAGCCGCGTCTCTATTAAACAAAACCTGAAACGGTGTGTGTTTGAGAGCTTTCTAATGATTTAATAGAAGCTCCCTAAAAGAATCTAATAACAGCAGAATAACTTGACACAATCATGTGTTTTGTTTTGGTTAATTGGCACCAATTAAATCTAAAATAAGGACATTATATGGCACATGGACTTATGAAAGACAAGGACAGATAAACTTTATCGATTCCTCACCAGGGACATTTACAATCAACCCTCTAATGGAAACCCCAGATGCTAGTGGCATGCTAGAGAGCTTCAGCACTCTCATGTGCATTAGGGCTGCTCAATAGATCATTGTCCATCCACTTTGCAACGTGCACATGTTCAGTCGTCACATCAGAAGAGGTGCACGTCATGCTAAAACTTTTTTTTTCAGCTTAACACATCAAGAGAACCTGTATAGTTTCCATAACTCATCTACAAGAGAAGTCTGTCTGATTTAACATATTTTAGTCCATTTTGGATACACTCTTTTTTTAAAAAACTATATTTAAAAGTGTGTTGACATGGAGGTTCCACATGTGCACAGCAAACTGAGTGAGAATCACTGAAAAGGAAGCTTTTGGATGGAAGTGATTTGGCTACAGAAAGAACGAGCAAAAACATGTCCTCTGCAGGCAGCATCTTGCAGCCGATACCACGACACGAATAATTTGTTTATACGTTTAATTTGACACCCCAGAGCTTCATTCTGATGAGCGCAAAGCCAAATCTGAAAGCCGTCCAAACCAAAACGAAAGCCTTTGCCAACGTTACGCCACAACAGAAGTGTTTGTGTTTCCAAATAGTCATCTGGGGAAAATTTGGGTATTTTCTCATTTCGTAATAAATAGTGCAGAAAAGTAGAAAAATATAACTGTTATAAACTACTGCACACTAACAGCTAAAATGAGGAAGGCAGTCCTGGAAATGTGTGTGTGTGTGTGTGTGTGTGTGTGTGTGCGTACCTGAGGGCCAGACGTCGTGTTGTTGTTGTTGGAGGACGAGGCCTCCTTCAGCATGGAGTTAAACTCTCTGGATAACTCATCAGCCGTAGCCAGCGATGCGTTCAGGTCATCATTTATGGTCTGAACTGAACGTGAAACCACACAAGCACCGCAGACAATTAGCAGAGGATATTACTCCCATGTGCACAAATATATGCTAAGCCAAAAAGACAAATAAGGGATTTGTGAGCACTCACACAGCATGCTGCTGCCAAAGCTCGTCTGAGAACTCATGGCTGTGAGGAAGCAGCGCTCTGCTCCTGAAAAAGGAAAAAACCACCACAGCTGTTAGCAGAAAGACCCACACAACGTTTGCACCATGTTGTGAACGTGCATTTACTGTTGCCGTTTGATAGGACTGTGCATGCTCCTGCCAGTGATAGAATGCAACTTGCATCACTATTCTTGCCCCTCTTGAACTCAGCCTTTAGTTTTAATAACAAGCTGTGTCTTCAGCCTGAACCTTTCAGCCCTTCCCTTCCCCTCCTGCTGCAGACTCCCACGTCTGTCACCTCCTTCAGGCGCTCAACTAACTACCTGAATGTCTGCCATGTCGAAACAAGCCACAGTTTCCTCATGAGAAAGAAAAAAATAACAGGTATGCACACTTGAAACCGAGAGAGCTGGTTGACGCGGCCTGTCCCGCTCGCTGACTCAACCGTATTATTTGTGGCACCAGGTGTTCGCGCTCGACATCATACGTGACTGGTGTGTTTGAAAGCTGCCGTCAGACGAGCAGGCAGACAGAGAGTCAGGTGCCGCGCATAGCTAGTCAGGTGGATGACAAATTATACTAATACCCCAGACAGTGTTGTGTGCCAGCAGGTCAATTAGTCCAGACTGAGTGCAAAAAGCTATTTAACTAATGCATTAATGCCAACTGTGCATGACCGTGTTCACCTAAAATACCTGCAGGGAAACGAATTGTTTGTCATTTATTTTCTGCTTCTGCTGATTTTTGTGCCGATAAGTTGATGCCATCTGTTGAAGGGCAGCAAGTATGACGCACTGAAATGTAAAAATAAAAGAGTTAAAAGACCCTAAAATAAATTTAAATGTCTTAATTCATCTCCCAGTGTAATTATTCCCTCTTAGAATGATACCGATAACTGAAAATATAAATTATTAGAGCATCTTTGCCTTTTAAGTCACAAGTACACTGCAAAAATTCAACTTTTTTTAAAAAACAGTTTTATAAATGTAACTTTTTTACTTTACTTTATTTATTTTTCTTTCTTTCTTTTTTTTTTTTTTACTGTATTTAAATCAGCTAAGACTATTAGCTGTGCAGATATGTTATTATTATTATTATTATTTTTATTTTATTTATTTTAAATGTTTTTAAATGTCACGGTATTGCATAATTTTCTAACTTACATAATTTTCTGCTGGTGAGGTGGATTTTTCTCATCGCTAAACCTGTACTTCACATTGTCAGTGCATCTTTACATAAGTAAAAGTGCTGTGAGTAAAAAAAAAACTAAAAACAGGTGTAACAGCATATTTTAAATGTTTTGCGTCATTAGCTAACAGGAAGTAAACGTAAAAAGCATTTTAAAAGGTAAGTTCACACATGCAATACGATGCAATGACTATGTTGATCATCACTTTTTGCAACGTGTTGGGTTTTGTTGTCACCGAGATTCTGGATTCACTCGTGTTTTTACTACGTTTTTGTAGTTGTTGTTGCTATTTGGTGATTTTAAAGTGACAGCTTTCCTTTCTGTTGGTGATTTGCATCTTGTCCGTCTTCTTATCAGCATATTTTATTGTGTACAAACAAACAAACAAACAAACTAAGGCAAACAGAGAAACTTGGTAAAATGAATGTTTCGCAGAGAGAAGCAGAAAGAACATTCATGCACTCAAGAAAAGCAAAAGCAAATAAACAGTTTTTAAAATACACCAAAAAAACGTATTTTTGCAAAAAGCAATTCCTTCTTTTACAGTGTCACAGTGAAATTAAACTGTTTTAGTGCATTTAAATCTGCTAAATATGTTACTTTGCAGATATTTGCTGTGATAGTCAGTTTTTAAATGCTAAAATATTGCACCATTTATTAACTTAAAGATTTTTTTTACAGCGTATTATTCAAATCCTGTAAATACTGTGGAGAAACTTTAGTTAATGACATTTTTAAAAGGAACAATAGGCCTTCATGTACATCTAGTTCTGATAAAAGCCATGTAGTCTAAAGCTCCAATGATATTTACATAAAATATGTACACGGTGGGGCTCATTACATTTAAATAATATTTATTCAAGTGACTTAATTCATCCTCGCTCACCTGTCTCCCATTTACAATCCTGCTATAGTTCAGACTCACAGTCAGTGTTTCCGCCTTGTGGAAAACGAGGAATAATTCAACAGCTTGGCCTTCCGTGTGGCCACTCAACATTACTGTGGGCTGTTTTTTTCCTGCTTCAAAAACAAACCACGGCCACTCTTACGCTGCAGCATATAATTAATGTGTTAGGCTTTGCTTTACAGGCATTATTTTGCAACAAATTGTTGTAATTTATCGGTTTCTGGTGCTCACAGCGGCCCCCCCCAACATGCCTCGTCTTGTCATGTCCTACTTTTTCCAGAAGAACCTTCATTTTGTTGGAGGCTATTTCTTCTGCCGTGAAAAAATAAAATAAAATACAGCCTAAAGCAACTCTTTAAGTGGATTCCTGCACACTGTAAAAGAAAACAACATAGGTTTGGGGTTGTTGAAAGGGTGTCTCTACTTTCACTCAAGTGCAGCGTGTCTTTGAGTTCTCTGTAAATCTGATATGAATCTTACTGGGAAGACACAAAAAGTTCAATTTCTGGGGAAGTTAAAGGCTTCCTGCGAACTGCTTCTAGCTAAATTGGGCATGAAAGAGATAGAATGGATTGTTTGTCCTCCCCTTTGTTAATGGGCAGGATACAGTTTGAGAAAAATCCTGCCTCACGCACCTCGAAAACTAACAACAACATCCGATAACACATACAGTCGTCCTCAAATGTCTTCACAGCCTCCCATTAAAGACGGAAAAAAACACTGAAATAAGGTGAAATTAATGAAAGTAATAATAAATAAAAATTTAATGAAAACCATGGCATTGCTTTTGAATTGTGGTTCAACAGAAATATATAAATATGTATTTTAAAAAAACAAGCAAACAAGCATGATTTGTTCCACAAACTAATATTTTGTGGAACAAATCTTTGAGCCAATCACTGCAATCAACTGCAATTTTTTTTTAAATTATTCTTTCCAACCACAACTAAAAAGCAATGTCTTATTTCACTAAATTATAATTTAGCAAATTTTTATTTATTATTACTTTTTTCAATTTCTAGTTATTTGAGTGACTATTGTGAATCTTACCTTTTCTTTAATGGAAGAGTACATCTGAGGACGACTGCATGCTGCCACTGACTTCTTTATCCTACAACACTTTTTAAATCTTACTCTTACGCGCTAAAACAAAAAGTCTCTCATGTGAAAACCTACTTGGCAACAAAACCGTTCTGTTTCCACCGGATAAAGCCCCCCGACACCGGCTGAACTTTAGCCTGCAAACGAGGTAACACTGCATTATATAAGGCTATCAAACTCAAGTGTGCAGCCGAGTCTGGTAATCAGTATTTCTCACAGGGACTTGTTATGTCTCGGTACGGCCTGTTTGCAGGCTCACATTCCTCACCACTCCTCCCAGTGAGGCATTCACCTCGCACTGGCCCGGACACTTATCTCTGTCAAGAGCCGCTCACACAAAAAGAGATTACACTCTCCCTGACTCGCAAAGGTCGATCGCTCACCCTGTGAACTCTCCCTCCCGCGGTCTGCTGATGCATTCACTCCACCCCTTCCCGTTCTGGTACACTCTCCTGCGGGCTGCATGCCACTTTCGACAGTTTCTCTCAGTTCCATGGCAACTTTCACTCTTGTTTTGTGTCGCTTTATTGAGAAATATTGCTTGTGTTTGCTGATGAGGTGGATTTTTTTTGTCCTCATTTCACTTTATCGGTGCATCTTTACATGAGCAAAAGTGAGAAAACAGGTGTAGCAGCATATTTAAAACGTTTTTCATCAGCGGGCGGGTGTTATTGGGAGCTTAAAAAGAATTTTAAACGATTAAATTAACACCACATGAGTGTATTGCTGCATTTCCTTTGGGTTTATCATCATCATTTCGCACCATATTGTGTTTTGTTGTCACTGACATTCTGGATTGTGTCTTCTCTTGCTGTTATTTTGCAGTGACAGCTTCCCTTCCTGTCTCCTTCTTTATGCTTTTTTTTATCTCTACAGTTTCTCTACAGTAATTTGCATCTTGTCTGTGTTTGCTCTTCTTATCAGAGTATTTTATTATGTGCAGATAAACGAAGTTAAACATAAAGAAAACCTACTTGGCAAAATGAATGCATCACAGGTTTCTAGGAACAGCCACCATATGTGCTCTTATCGCACAATATCAAGAAAAACGACACCTTTCTGTAAACAGTTAGAGTATATGAAGATGCCAGCACAGTGGAGGGAGGCGCCGCGTGAAGGATTAAACATCTGAAAGTTTAAAGAGGACTGACAGCTTGTGGCCACTGCAGCCATTCTTGCTTTGCTGCTGCACTTTGCTTTTGCAAGTAAACTTTCTTGGAAAACCTGACATTCATTTTTTTTTTCTTTCTGCCTCCTTTCCAGCGCTTTGATTACAGCTGCTTCTACAGTTTCAGCATACAACAATTAGCTCTCCCGAGTGGTGAAGCCAAGATGAAAGCCGCAAGATCAAAAAACACGAAATAGTAGTTTAAGAAAGTCGACTGGCTATTTCTGCTTTGGAAAACTTGGACACTTTGCTAAAAGGACAAAAGCAGAAAGATCTTGAGTGAAGAAGAAGAAGAAGGCTTTGGGGATTACAGACAATAATCATTAGCTTTGCAGAATGCCATGGGCGTGTCTGACCAAGACTACAAGCTGTCCCTCCCTGCTCCCGATCCTTTTATGTCTTTCACCAGCAACTCAAGATTACGCATCTAACTGATACTCTAGTTTCTGCTGAACTCCTTATTTTCATGCAGCCATCCATTCATTTCCCACCCTATCCTGTTTCACAATTGTCGGTGACTCCTTAATATCCTTCCTCCAGAGCTTTCTGGCTTTGTCTCGGCCTCTTGTACAACCAAACACTTTCCATTGTGACTCGCTTTTCATTGTCCTCCATTGCCGTGGAGTCCTCAAACCTTCAAGTCTGGCTGCATGCCATTACATAGACGACACAAACTTAACACCGGGGTTAAACTTTAATGTCCACGAGCTTTCTCAGCTGCTCAACTGATTTGAAATTCCCAGAATATCGTTAGTGTGAAGTAACATTAAGGTATGCCATTAAGTCCAAAGTCAAAGATAACATCCAGGGTAATGTTTACATTGGCTCACCTCTATCTCATGGGATAGGAATCTATTGAAAATAGATTGTTGGCATAACTGGATTCTAAAAAAAACAGAACAAAAAAAAGACGAGCTGTGCTAATGCAGGTGGGAGGAACTGAGTAATTACTGTGTAAAATGTCAGAAACATGTGTCACAGAACCTGTTAGGGAGGAGATCAGGGTGAATTGATGGCTACCATCTTCAGTCAACTCACAAAGAGTGTTTATCTAAAAGGTTTGTCCGACGTAAATCATCCCAAACACTGTAGAACTTCAACCAAACTGCAATGACGAACAGGATGAGTTGACCTTTTTTTCACAGCCCCATGAGTCGTCGGGTTAAATCTGATTACAGCTGAGCGATGGTCCACACTGACACACGGCTGATCATAAGTGCTTCACTGATTAATCAAGTCGTCCACTTCCAGATTTCAACAACCGTAATCCTCTCACATGCCACAAAAAAAAAAAAACTCCACCCAAAGCACTTATTTTTTACAATGCTTCCACCTGTGACCCAGTTAGTCACTGCAATGCTCCCAACATAATTACACAAACCAGTGTGCACACTCATCACTCTGTAAGACAGCAACTGTCATCACCGCTGCTCTTACACAATCCATCAGTATTGATCCTCACAAGCCCGAGACGTCAATCAGTGTCTGCAGATGCCGAAGAACATAAACCTGGTAAACACAGTAGACATTTCTGCACAGCTAGTCCCTAACTACAGCACAGCTTGCCTTCATTCCTCTTTCGGTTCATGATGCTGCTGACTCCCTTTTGGCACAGCCTCATCCAACACTATGCCATAATCCCCCCTTCACTTGTAGAGCCACACTGTTCTGCCCAGCATGTGACTCAGGAATCTCTCAGTGCTGCACAACATAACAGGCATTTCTTGGCAAGTTACATCCACGTAGAAGTCTGTCCTGTTCCTGTTCAGATGCAAATCAGGGCCTTTGGCAACAGAAGCACAAACATGCTTGTGCATGTTCTGCATACATGCATGACGTTTTATTTTTATTTTTTTTACATCAGGCAGTCGAATTAAATTGAACTTTTGTTTGACAACAGGTTACAGCAAGTGCACGGTGCAATTTAGCCCAGGCAGTTAACTGGAGCAGAACACACATGTTGGACAGGCGCCATTTAAATCCTGCTCTGACAGGAAAGTTTGGTTTGCATACAGATTATAGTTGTGCAAAGATGGGATAGTAAATTCATCAAAACTGACACATTTGATTTCCTAACTTGCAGTCACTTGAAACAGGACATTAAAAAAAACAACTCCTGAAGTTATGATGGAGGTTTTTTTTGTTAACTACACATAAAATCAGCATCCACCACGATATGGAGAACATACAACATGACATGTAACGCATCCTAAAATACTAAAATAATACACATATAAGTCCATGTAGATTAAACTTCTCGTTCATTGTGGTGTTTATAGGGTGTGAATGGATGTTGTAGGTGAAGGCTGCACATCAGTCTACCAGAGTCCAGCTGTTGCACTGGAGCTCCTCTGCGCGGTGGCAGACTGAGCGTCATGCCAGCCGGGGTTGGTAACATCTGATTCCCATTACAACAAGCTCCTCCTCGCACACAGGATCCCTCACAATGACCGAGAAAACCGTGGAAAGACGAAAGAGTTGAGCCACAAAAACACTCCGAAAAGCGACCCCGACTATTCTTCTAGTCTCCCAACACAGACATGACCTCACAGCGAAACTAAATTCATCGTGAAATCTTTACCTTCTCTCAGTGTTTCCCACGCAGACGAGCGCAGCCGCCTGCGTAACGAGGAGAACCAAGAACAACTTCCTCACCTCAAAAATGAAAGTCTCTCTGTTCGGTTGTTCCAAAGTGGAAGGAAAGCTGAGCCCTGATCAAAGCTGCTGGTCTTCCTGGAGTCAGCGCGTCTTTCTCTCTTGTGGCGGAGGCTCCAGACATTTAGTCATCGCTGCGCACTGAGCGCAGTTATTTTGGCTCGGAGTCCAGCCCCCAGGCTTGTAACCCGAGCCAGGTGTTTCTTCTGCCACAGCTGGCTCAGGTGAACCAAAGCAGCGCTTTTCACTGGACACTTTCTACTGACATGTTCTGCGAAGGAGAAGGCAGGAGCTGCACAGTTCCTAAATAAAAGTCAGCTTGGATATGTGTGGTTACGAATTTTGCTAAAAATGCGCATTGCATTTACACTATGTTATATAATTACACATGTGATTAAACATGGGGTCTATACAAAGGAGCATCCGTTACTATACTGCATACATGTGCAGTATGGCAGTAAGTAAAAGAAATGTGATGCATGCATTGTATACAAAAAATACTGCAATGCTCCTTTAATTGCATTTTTAAAATTGATTTATGGGAACTCTTGGGTCATACACTAATTCCAACGCCAGATGGGGCCTTTTAAGTAAATGATCAGTCTGTCTGTTTAATTCTAATTCATGATGGTGATAGTAATAAAAAAAAATAAAAATACAGATCACAAATCCAGTATTTAGTTCAGTGTCAGTGCATGAATTCAAATCAAAGGACATCAGTTTGCTCATGTGGATTTTTATTTATTTATTTACTTTTTAACTTTATGAACAAAGTAGCAATTTACAGATTTAGAAACACCAGCAGCACATATACAGTTAAAACCAGAATTTTACATACACTGTAAAAAAAAAAATACACATACCCTTTTCTTTTTTTCCCCTCACTGTCGAAGTTAAATCAGACTAAATTTTTCCTGTTTTCGGTCAGTTAGGATTACCAAAATTATTTCTATTTGCTAAACACCAGAATTATGTGAGAGAGAATTATTTTTAGAAAATTCTTTCTTCAAAGTCAGAAGTTTACATCCACTAAGATTACAATGCCAAGCTATTTGGGAAAGCCCAGATGATGATGTCATGGCTTTGGAAGCTTTTGATAGGTTAATTGACAACATTTGAGTTAATTGGAGGCACGCCTGTGGATGTATTTTAAGGCACACCTCAAACACACTGCTTTCTTTTGTGACAACATGGGAACATCTAAAGAAACCAGCCAAGATATCAGGAAGAGAACCACAAGTCTGGTTCATCCTTGGGTACAGTTTCCAGATGCCTAAAGGTTCCACATTCATCTGTTCAAACAATTCTACTCAAGTTTAAACACCATGGAAATGTCCAGCTATCATACTGCTCAGGAAGGAGACGGGTTCTGTGTCCCAGAAATGAAGTGTTTTGGTGTGAAATGCGAGCATCAACCCCAGAACAAAACCTAAAGACCTTGTGAAGCTGCTGCAGGAGGGACTGGTGCACTTCACACAATAGACGGCATCATGAGGAAAGAACATTATGTGGAAATATTGAAGCAACATGCCAAGACATCAGACAGGAAGTTAAAGCTTAGGCGCAAATGAGTCTTCCAAATGGACAATGACCCTCAGCATACCGCCAGATTAGTCACAAAGAGGCTTCAGGACAACAAAGTCAATGTTTTGGAAGCCCTGATCTCAATCCTGGAGAACATTTGTGGGCAGAACTGAAAAGGTGCGTGGAGCAAAGAGACCAACAAACCTGACTCAGTTCCACCAATTCTGTCAGGAGCAATGGGCCACAGTTCATCAAACTATTGTGACAAGCTTGTGGAAGGAAGCCCAGAACGTTTGACCCAAGTCATACAGGTTAAAGGCAATGCTACCAGATACTGAGGAGATGTATGTAAACTTCTTACTTTAAAGCAAGTAATAAAAAAAGTCTAAAAAATGTCTCTCTCTCATTATTCTGGCATTTAGCAAATAGAAATAATGTTGGTAATGCTAACTGACCTACAACAGGAAACATTTTGTCTGATTTAATGTCAGCCAGTGAGAGAGAGAAAAAAAAAGGTTTGTGTCTTTTTATAGAGTGGATGTAAACTTCTGGTTTCAACTGTAGCTTAGACAAATGTGATGCAAATTAGACTGAAGAGCATTACATTAAAAAAACAAAACAAACACAGGGGTACACACAGAGAATGTTCAATCAGGGCTTTGAAATAAAATTCAGATAAACTGAAATCAGTCAGATATTCTAGGGCCATTTTGATTATTATAGTTACAGATAAGATCTTAAAGGTTAACAGACTTGAGCGCGTTAGCAGCTTTTAAGCAAAAAAGTGAAAGTTCTGTTATGTCAAAAACTTTTGGGATATGTCAGTCAAAGAATACCTGGGAATTTATTTTTTTTTCAGTATAATTTTTACAAAATGCACAACAGGTACCAATGTCTGTAAACTTGGCAATGTGAAAATGATCAGGGTATATTCTATGTTAAAATAAATAAGTAAATAAATAAAAATCAGCCTTGTTTGAAATACAGTACCCATAAGGTAAATGCCAAGTCTCTAGTTTATGTTTTCAGTGTTAGACCTCCACACAAAAACTTTCCTCTAGGTACTGTTTGATAGGAAAGTTTGATGAATATTGTTGGTATTTCATCTTATATGTTAGTTTGAATCCCTCCATCATCTGTGTTGTAATGTCCTTACCATAATTTAAGCGGCTTTCCGTAAATTTCACAAAAACTTTACTCAGAATAGGAATAGTTATGGAGGTAAATTGCCTAAAAGAATTTGAGAAATTCGCTAAGACTGCCAATATGATTCACATCTGTTCCAATCCAGAAACAAGGAGTTGTTCCTGATGTCACATTTGTTCTAGAGAAAAGTTTCGTGACGTGGGAAACTTTGGACAAAACATCACATGGGTGGGATTAGAGCTGTCAATCATTTAACGTCATCACGTAACCTCTACGTGCTCCGCCCCGCCGTGGTGAAGCGTTTCCGCCAAGATGGTTGTCGGTGCCTTCCCTATCGCCAAGCTCCTCTACCTCGGAGTGAGGCAGATGAGCAAGCCCGTGGCGAACCGGATAAAAGCAGGAGCCCGGAGGAGCGAGTTCTTTAAAAACTACATCTGCCTGCCGCCGGCGCAGCGTGAGTAACCGAGCTAACGGTCGTCAGTGGCCGAGAGTCCGGTCCGAGTCACCCCGAGGACGGAAAAAGAAAGCAGTGCTGTAACGACCAATGACATTGAGGCTGGAAGCGTCGCTCAGCCAATCAGATTTGTGGGTTTATCCGTTCGACCAATAGCAGCCAGGCTAGTTGGAAGAGGGCGGGTGTTGTCTGTCATTGAGCAGGTTGTATGAAACCTTTGCTGCTGTGAGGACACGACAGGACAACAGTGCTTTTACAGCGTGCTGGACAGAACATTAAAATGTAAATTACATTCAAATAGAGAAAAACTATGTGGACTGGTAGCTGCACGTGTTCTTGTTTGTTTCAAAACGCTGCCAAAATAGCAAGAAAGGCTAGTCAAATACACTGTAAGGCTACCCTCTTCATTGTCATTAATTCATTTTAAAAACATTTACACGGTTTTAAGTAAGCAACCAAACAAACAAACAAACAAACTCAAGTATGAAAGAAAGCCTCAGAAAAAAATGCAGAATTTATAGGGGTGGTTTTTAAGAAATGATTCAGTCTGGGTTGACAGAGTTCATGTAACATGGAATTTAAAATGAAAATTTGCCAAATTGTCATTTTCTGACAGATATTCAGAGATGTAAGCTTCAGTTCAGCATGCACCAAGTAATGCAGTTTAAATATGAAAGCACTTTCACACAAGGAGGACGGCGTGAATTTGTAAAGCCAAACACACAAGTGTTTAAACTACTCAGATGTACAAGGTGTGGCTATTACATAATAATGCTGGGCTAATGTCAGTCGAACAACAGCGTGAATCACATAGTACACACTGATCACTCGGGAAGCATTACCAACACCTGACAGTTTCAATCTGCTTAAATAAAAAAAATAAAATAATTACAACATTTGTCCTATTATTTGACAGCCATACCTCATGTATCCGATACTGCAAGTTTTGCAATTTGTTTAAAATTGTGATTTGAAATCATATATTTCGAACTGCTCACTTGTTTGCAGAAGCCTAACTGGCATGTGCTTGCTGTGTTTCCTCAGTGTATCACTGGATTGAGATGAGAACGAAGATGCGGATCATGGGCTTTCGGGGTTCCACCATTAAGCCGCTGAACGAGGATTCGGCTGCAGAGCTGGGTGCAGAGTTGCTGGGAGAGGCTATCATCTTCCTCATCGGTGGCGGCTGTATGGTGCTGGAGTACAGCAGGCAGGCTTCGAACTCCCGCCGCAAAGAGGAGGAGCTGAACGAGACCATCACAGGCCTACAGACTGAAATAGCAGAGTTAGCATTAACCACAGAGACTCTCAACGCACAGCTGAGAGAGGTCAACAGGCAGCTGGCTTCATTTTCTGTTCCCACCCAAAAATGATTAAAACAGTCCTTTGCTATATGGCAAGGCATGTTGGTCTGTGTGTGAAGGAGCAGAGTGCACTTAAATAGTGTCGTTGAATGTACTGCTGGATAACTGCCCTGTTTCACACGCTGCCACCTGCCATACAGTTGAGTGGAGGAGGTGGGCATAAGCATATCACTGTGCGGTGGATTTGGGTGCTGTCCAAATGCTCATGTTTTGAGCAGCTAGTTGTAAATTGGGATTGCTATGATATTCATAGTGAATTTCTATGGTGGGTCTTGCATGTTCATTGTAACGTCAAGTGTACATAAAGATTTACAGTAAAAGGCAAGAGTGACCTAAAAGTTAATATATTTTATAGCAGCTGCAGCCTCATGGACCTTCATTGCTTAGAAAATGCTGATTTTCATGCTTTGTGAGTGAGGATTGGTTATATAATAACTTGATAAATTTTGGGAACTTCAGATAACAAAAACTGACAACAAAACAAACAAACCAACACTAGGTCACATGAGTGGATTTATTTTGAGAATATGTGCCCCTAAAGTTTCTTGTACACTTCATGTTGTGATTGCTGGTTCTTGTACATTGACTGATGACGGCTGGATAAATGATGGTGTGAAATAAAAGGGTACAATGTGTGCTAATAGAGTTTGTGTCACATTAAATACTCTGAGCCACCACTGACTGTATAATCTCTTTTCTTTGGTGTTACCTGTAGAACCTACGTGAATAAGTGAAGAATCCTCTAAACACTAGTTTCTTTTCTTTCTTTCTTTCTTTCTTTCTTTCTTTTTTTCTTTTTCCTTCTGTCACATTTTGCTCACTCTAGATTCACTTTTCACTGCAATATAAAGCCCTACACCTCTATGGAAAAATGCACAACCATGGCTAGAATTCGAGAGACCTCAATCAGGCCTCCACATGCCATACATAGATGATTTGACTGTAACTTTTTGTATTTTTACAACCTCTACAAACTAGCTGTTTTTCACACTACTCTGCATATTAACAGCAAAAAGATGCCGGATGCATCTTCCAATAGCTTGCTTCTCCTTATGTCATTTTTTGAGTCATGCTATATTAATTATATTGATCAAGTATGTTTGTCTTTTGTTCCTCTCAAGCTCTCTTGTGTAAACACAGCATGCAGTTCAACTTAATATTTAACTGATTTTCTGTGGTTTCACAGTTGCTCACAGTTGAGTCAGTCTTGGCTTGTGGGTTGAACCAAATAGCCCAGATACTTTTGTCTTTTCCATTATCTGGTGTTAATGCTTTATTTTGCTTCATGTAGAATAAAGTGATTTGCAGGAAAAGTCACAATTTTGAGCTTCGTTTCGGTTATTTTTGCTGACTGGATTGTTGTAAAATTAAAAACACAACGATTATTTTCTGTTTGTACAGTTTCGGATTCCGATAAATAGAACACGTCCCGTTTAAGGTTTTTTGGGGGGATTTGGCAGGTTACGCGGGGACGTTTATATTAAAACTACATTACCCAGAATGCCTTCAACACAGACGCCACTTCGGAATGTTCCAAGTGTGAAATGAGTAACGTACAAAGACACTGAGTCGATGTTTTAATTTTCTCCATATTCCGATGTAAAAACATTACTTAGCGCTCCATGAATGTTGTTAAGTAGGATATATCTCCTTGCATTTAAATAAAATCACAGTTGAAGCAGGAAAGACCCCCCTACGTGTGTTTAATTCTTGTTAACGCCCGATTTTAGGTTTCGGTCTAGTTTGCGCCGGAAGGGGGCGGTAGCGACTCTCTCAATCTACAACCACGACTTACGCGCGCAACTCCCGTTAAGGAGGTAGGCCTCAACTTTATTTTTCGTCATATTTTGCTTCATTGCTATTGTATGAACTAAATACAGAATGCATTAACTGCAGAACTAGCATGCAAAAACAGAGTAGCGCTCGCTGCTTGCATATTTCCTGAGTTAAACTTACTTGCCCTGCATAGGTTGTCGGTGCGTTAGCTAACGGCAGGCTACTAGCGTTAGCCGCGGAGCGACAGTTGGAGGCAAATAACAACCATAGCGAATATATTAGTTTTAGATTGGTCTTGCAAACAGTTGTAGTGATAAACTTCACTGTAAACCCAGAGCTATGTGGCTTACAGATCTGTATTGTAAGCAAGGTGTAGCGGTGCAGTATCTGTCCAGCGCGGCTAGCTTAGCTAAACACTAACTGTAGCCTGTTTGACTGAGACTGTGCCGCGCAACAGATATCGATTTGAAAGTTACTTGCAACGTTGTGAACGGTGCCTGAGCATTTTCTGTGTCTCCTGTTTTGCCAGCAAACAAAGGCAACAAACAAACTAACAGACAGAAACACCATGAGTGTTGACGTGAAAAAACTGAAAGTCAACGAGTTAAAGGAGGAGCTCCAGCGCCGCGGCCTGGACACGAAAGGCCTGAAGGCGGACCTGGTGGAGAGGCTCAAAGCCGCCCTGGAGGCTGAATCCCAGGCTGATGTCTCGGAGCAGGGGGAGCAGGAGGATGAGTACGGCGACGACGACTACCAAGACAACGAGGAAAACGAGGGTGCAGAGGATGCCCAAGAGCAGCAAGGTAAAGCCGTGTTTAGATTTGTTGCGCTCCTGCCAGACGTTGACGTGCATTGTGTAGTGTGACCTTTGACCTATTGAGTTTGTTGTTTTAGGAGGAGAGCTGCGGGCTTAATCGATTAGTTATCAGCTCTTATATTAGTTGGAATTTGGCATTTTTGGTTTGAGTAGTTTATTCATAAAAAAATAAGCTTCTTACATTTGAATATTGTCTGATTTCTTTACTGTTTAGACATTTTATAGACCAGACAAGTGATAAAATAATTTTAAGTTGCAGCCCCACTTAAATCTATTGAAAACATTTTCTGCAGATTAGTGACAGTTTATGAATTAAACTTTAGGAACTAAAAAACAAATCATACATACTTTTCCTAGGTTCTGGTCCACCTTTAAATAAGAACTTTGATCCTTAAAGGTGTTTTATTCACTGTAATACTTTGAGATTTATGGAAAATGTACAGTTACATTTTTTTTTGATTAGTATTGCAATTTATTTTGCAATGCAAGTTCCTAGAATCGCCTTCACAGTGTAATAGATTTAAAATATGCCCCACCGCATAATGTATATTCTAACTTGCATCCTTTTTGATTTGCTATTTGCGTTGCTTCAAAATGCAGTATTATTTAAAATAGAATAATTCTTCAGCCGTAGTTCTTGGAGATCAAAGTGCACTTGCTTATGGGAAGTGAAGATAAGATAGTTTTAAAGTAGTACAAGTTTCTCAAGAGTGCATTAAGTTCCTATTTTGCCGTTAATGCAAACTGAACTACGCATTAAAAGTTTTGAATCTCCCTTTTGCATGTGCAGAAGAAGCCGAGGACTATGGTGATGAAGACGAAGGTGACGATGGTGATGATGGTGAAGGCGAGGAGGAAGCGGAACCAGAAGCTGAAGCTGAAGCTGAAGCCCCTCAAGAGGAAGATGAGGGCCGAGACTCAGGTGGTTACTACGAGGAAGAGGAGGCAGAAGTTGAGCCTTACGAAAGCCAACCAACTTCAGACTCCGGACACAGCATGCCTGACTTCACTGCAGATGTGGATATACAGAAGTCCGAAATGATGCCCGAGGAAGAAGCCAAGCCTGTGCAGAGGGTGGAGGAGAAGCCTGACAACAGACCAGGTTATATTACAACACTTTATGACAATATGACAATCCTTTTCCAACTGAACATGCAGAATGAAATGTACTGTGTACAAAAAAGGCAAATGACACTTAGATCTTTTGAATGTTATAACAAAAAATGGTTGGTGATTTGATGCCAGCGTACTGAGATTTAAGGCTGTGAGGAGACAAACTTTGCAGACGCAGCAAAGTTTTACTTACTGCTGACACATATTCTGCAGATTCAAGGGTGGCACAGTGTCTCTATGATTAGTAGTGCCACCGCAAAGAACAAGTTGGTGTGCAGTTTGCTCTGCTCTGTGGCCACCTATTTCTTTTAAACTGGATGGTTTAAAAGCAGAGGACAACATTTCCCACAGCTGGTAGTAAAGTATATTCACAATTGCAGTCACTTTTTGAAATTCAAACACAACCATTCACAGTAAAAACGTGTAAAACTGAAAATCAACCTGCTGTCACATTTAGAACTTGAAAGATAATTTTAAAGATCCTGCATGATGTGTTTAAAAAAATGTTCTACATGTTGTTGGGTGATCATTATTTAATACGTATGTTAAAAATACGCTTGGCCTGTGCTTGTGGTTATATTTGTTCGTTTGTTTGTTTGTTTTAGAAGTCAAAGTGGAAGTCAAAATGGAAGATGAAGCCGAGGCTATTGGAGCCAGACAGGACGACAGTCAAGAGGCAGAACAGCAGCGTGGGCAAGACGCTGCAGGTCAGGCTGAACAAGTCAAAGCAGAGGGTGAGAGGGGTGGACACTACAGCCGCAAAAGACCGTATGAGGAGAACAGGAGCTACGGCTACTATGAGCACCGTGAGGACAAAAGGTGATTATAATTTGTGATATTTTACATTGGGCTTCTAGCTTGTGTTCTAAATAAACACACCGGCTGTGAACTTAATCAGTGGATTAAGTTAAATGTATTGTTGTGAGCTTGTCGATCAAAGTGGCTGTAAAGGCTGTTAACTTCACCCTCTGCTGATGTTGTACAGATCCCGAACTCCACAACCTCCTGCTGAAGATGAGGAAGAGAACATAGATGACACTCTTGTTACAATTGATACATGTAAGTAGGAGGATAAAGTGGATCTCTGCTCAAGTTAGGAGACAAAAATATCGTCCCAGCTGTTAAGAGCTGCCGTCCCAGCTGGAGGCCCTCTGGCTGTGAGCCAGCAAGGTTTTATTTTCAAAGCATCTGTGTTTAAGTGGGTTCCATTCTTGGCATTCCAGCTCAGTTATCACATGCATATATTACAGCAGAAATATTCTACGACTGTCAGTTTTTTTTTTTTGAGCTTTAGACTTAATCTACATACATCTAGATACTTCTCCGCCGTACGTGTCGGTACATGTTGCAATGTATCACAACATGATATAAATGAAAAGTATGAAATCACATTATATGCATCAAATTAATTTAAAATCATGTTTTTCTTCTTTTCAGACAATTGTGATTTGCATTTCAAAGTGTCCCGAGATCGCTACAGTGGTTATCCGCTGACCATTGAAGGCTTTGCTTACCTGTGGGCCGGAGCACGAGCAACACATGGTGTCACCCAGGGCCGCGTGTGTTACGAGATGAAGGTAATGCACAGAGAATAACAAGGTGGTTTTAAAATTAGACAGATTGCTGTATTGATTTTTCTGACAACTTGAGGTCTGGTAACAAACTAATGTATTGTAAAAGAATCTCTTTTATGTACATGATATAATAGTCACTGATAAATGAAAGGCTTTATGTATTTATTATTTTTGACATTTAGATGAGAAACTTCGCTTTATTTTTAACACACATTTTCTTTAAATATAAGTATTTTCATTGCTCTTTTGGCCTTAAAACTGATGTTGGGGAAAACACCATTTCAAGGGAGCTGTCAGGAAGGTGTAAATACATAGTAGGGCTGTCATTCTTATAGAAATAAGTAAGAAGGAAGTTAATATCACACCCAATATGGCTATGAATTGAATGTTAACATCC